TAATCTCTTCAAATGTCATAATTGATCCTCTTCTCTCATAGATGGGATTGGATTTGCTGAATTTCATACCCCATAATACAACTTCTTCTGGGACATGTGGCAATACGTCTGCCTTCTTGAATCTGACTTTTGAGAAAACAAGGGTTATCTTCCACTTTGCATTGGTAAGAATCTCTAGACAAAGCGTGTAGGGTCTGCAGGACTTCTCATGTGGGAAAACTAATTGGGGCAAGTACAGGAGAAAAAAGATGCAATTACAGGAAGGGGAGTAATTCATTCCTTTGTTTTTAATACTAGGATTTCGAGGGTTTAATACTTGGTAACTGTGGTGAGGAAAGAATATATACATGTATGTACACACATGTATGTATAGACAGATACCTCTTTTGTTTGGAATGGGAATTTCTTTTAAGATTATATTGCCTTACGCTCTAAAGCTTCTTGCCCAAACTGGGAACAGTTCTGCTGTAGCAGAGGAATAGCCTGTAACAAATAGGCATCTCATCTAATTGTACAAGTCTGGAACTGGATTTAAGTCCTCATTAATATTCTGTATCTGTAGCACAGGTGAGATCATTGTACTAGCCTGGTTAAGGCATGGGTGGAACTATACCTTTAGAGTGGAGGTCAAGTCAGCAGGCTGAGGGGTGACAGTCCCCCTTTCTCTGCCCCCCTTCCCTTCCCCAAAATAATCTTCCCTAAGGTGCATACTTTCTGTAGCTTTTCTCTCTAAAAGTGCAACTAAGTTCTTCCTTTGGATGCTAATCCCAATTGTGGACTATCCTTTGAAAACCTTTCTCAAAATGCATGCAGAATTGAAGCCAAATCTTAACAGCTTATGTTGTACATCATTAGCTTAAATGACAACTACTGGTTTGTTTTTTTAAAAGAATGCAAGTACTGAAAAATTCTTCCTGCAAGGTGTGAATGTAAGCACAACTCTGCCTTCTGAAGCAAAAGGTAGGGACTTTTAAGAAGTCTACTTTCAATGACTACTTCTATAAATATTAAGGGTTGTCTGCATTAAATAACCTGTTAAAAACGTTGGAGATGAATGCATTGAATTTAAGCTCTATGAGCTTACAGCTCCTGCTCTTCAGGATTCTGTAATAAGACTTTCTCTTACACAGTTCCAAAGTTTGAAGCATCGAACAACAGCATGAGTGAGCTGAGAGCTACAGTAGGGAACTCCTACAAGTGCAGTGCCGAGGAGAATCTCCAGGTCACGGACAAAGCCCTTGTCAATGTATTTGATGTTCAGATCCAGGTTTTCAAGATTGATGGAGACAAATTTGGGGCAGGTAAGAGGTTTACATTTTGGGGGGGAACCTAAGATTTGTGAAGTGTACTTTGATATAAGCATATAATATTCTGTAGTCAAGTGTCAGCTTGTGGGTGCTGTGCTTTGTCTCTGCATGCCTGGATACAGATGTTGTAGGGGCTGATAAGGTGTCTGAGTTGAGGCTAGTGCGACCAAGTATGTAAACAGCTTTGAAATAACTAAGACTTGTTCCTTGTGGTACAGAGAAGAGTTAAGGAAGAGCATTAACTTTCCCTCCTAACTGTGTGCAGACAGTTGTATGAAAGGGGCAAAGTTCTGGGAAGTTCCTGACTCTTCTAGTTAGTGCTGTCCTTTGTGACTGTGGTTAAAGCTAGGAGAGGAGTCGCATGGATATATTTACGATGGCTAAGCCTTGCATAACAGTAACAGCTCTTGAGAAGGAAACAATTATTATAAATCTCTATATTGTGCATACAACTAGTACTAGAAAGACTTCATCCTGATTGATCATAGTTAGTGGACTTGGCTTCCTTTTCGTTGTTGGCAAGCTAAGCTAGAAGTGAACTTGAGCCAGTTTTATCTATGTGCTGAGAGTAGAAACTTGAAGTTCTGGCTATAGCTGTCTGTTGGTGTACTAGTGCCTAACATGGATCTCTTTCTCTCTCTCCAGTGGAAGAATGTCAGCTGGATGAAAATAACATGCTGATCCCTATAATAGTTGGTGCAGCCCTTGCTGGTCTTGTTCTAATTGTCTTGATTGCTTACCTGATTGGCAGAAAGAGGAGCCATGCTGGATATCAAACAATTTAATGACTTGCACTAAAATCCAGTGTAGATGAAAAGCAATTGCAAGAAGCTGGGAAACCACCCCCCCACACACACACACATTTCCCCTGAGCTAAGATTGATATTGTAAGGGAACACCTTTTCTTGCAAGTTGCTTCTTCTTTAAAGTCTGCTTTATTAAATGTGAAATCATCTTGCAGCATTTAACTATGCACAAAAATAACTTCTGAAAATTCTGGTGTTTAATTTTGCTAACTAGTTTAAATATTTACCCACTTAGAAACAAGCTAAAAGTTTTTAAGGGTGCTTTTTTGGAATTGGCGTAAGGTAATGTCAGCTAAAGATTACAGAGAGGGATGTTGCTAATTCACACTGACTCAATTTCAGAACTCTTAACAAAGGGAAAAGGTTCATTCTTCGTACTGCTGCTATCCAGCAATGATGTTAATTATACTGATGATGTGTTTAAAGAAATTTAGTAACAACTGACAAAATTGAAATTTAAAATCTAAACTCCACCTTGTCTTTCAGGTGTGTATTTTTTACTAAGCTTTAAACTCAATGCCTGGCATATGCAGGGTGTGAACAACGCAATACTCAAATCTTGCAGGAACTCTTTATGATTGGACAACTCCCCTGTTTGATATTTTTGATGCTATGCCAGCTTGTTAGGAGCTGGTGATTTTTTAAAATGGGTGTTATTTTTATTTACGTTTTTTTGTAAAGTGATTTCAGTCTCTTCTGTTGGAAGGTCCAGAGAGATCCTGTTACTGCACATGTGTACAATATAGATCTCAATCTGCTGATTCTCTTGCTTTAAACTTGGCTGGGGGGTTGTACACTTTAAGGATCAGTTCTTATGTATGCATTGCCTGTAACAATGCTAATAAAGACACTTTTTTTCTGTATATCTTAGTGTTGCTGATCACTCTTAAAAACATTTGACCATTTGGTTAGTGCTAATGTCTTGGTTTGGCTCTACTTTGAGAGCTTTAAACAACCCTTAGTGTTAAAGAAATGTTTAAGTTTTTTCTCTGCGTGGCACAAAGGTGAGGCTTAACTGTGTATGTGTCTTCAGAATGGTCTCTTGTTTTGGACTTTGTGCTTGGAAACCGGTAAAGCTTCTGTGTATCAGTAACCTGAGATCTGGAGAAGATAACTCTTACATTAAATTGCCATGTGCTGAGAAATGTCAGTGTAATGGTCTGCCCTGCTGAGCATCACTTTCTGAAAGTGCTGCTAAGATACTCGGTATAAGGACTGTGTAAATGACATTTAAGGTTTTATTTTGAAGTTGGATTCTTACCACAGAGTAGGAAACGCATGTCTGCTGAGGTCTATGTGTGTTGGAAATGAACCTTTGTGTTTAAAGCTTCCCTAACTCCCTCCTGCAGTAATGTTTTGGTATTAACAGTACTAGCTACACAGGGCGGGAACCAAGGCTGAAACATTGCACAGAACACTATTCTTCTGACAAGGAGAACTGAACGCATGGCAATAAGGGTGGTATACTTTGGACCATCTGTCCTGCTACCTTGAAGGTAGCTGGAAACTATGGATTTTGCCAGTGGTGAATAAACTAGTATTTCCTAACACCTGCTGATGTACTGGAAGTGTGGTACTGTTAATGTCCTTACAGTTCAGTACTCGAGGAAGAAGGTGTCTGGTACCAAAAAGGATGGGAAAGCTTGGAATCATACTGCTCAGTAGCTGTCTTTACTTGTCTAGAAGAGCACTCATCTATTTCCTCTGAAATGTCTTGGGGTTCCCCCCTGGCTGAGGAATGAAAGAAACTCAGTCTGCGGGGAGGAGAGGGGAGGAAGATAAGCCTGCCTTGACAAGGAATGAAGATAACTTGGAGTAGAGTCTGAAAAGGAGTGTGGTGGTAAAAGGTGAGGCTTTCCACAGTAGTTGTTCAACATGGAGAATAAAAAGCCATCAGGAAGGTGAGGGAAAGGGTTTGGCCACGAGAGGGCCCTGAAAGGACAAGAAAGCAATTCATGGGCACTTGGCCCCAGCAGGGGTGGAAGTGGCCTGAGTGCCAGGAGGAGGGCTGCTGCTTTGCTCGTTTCTGCCCAGGAGTAGGATATTTAGATTCGCATTAAGGTGCAGCTTTGGAGCTGCCTGATGTCTCTTCCTTGTCAAGGAAGAAGTCTGTGGCTGTCTTTACAAGTGTTTCTCTCAGAATTTTTAGGGACACAGGTATATGAGGATATAGCCCCTGTAGTGCAACCTCAGTACACCAGCACAAAGTAGAAGTACAGCATCTAGTTTCAGCATCCCTTACAACAAAGTGAGAAATACTACTTCCAGATTTGAGTCAAATTACTTGTCACCTACTGTGCTACAGCTAGAAAAGCTTGACTAAGGATATAAAATATTAAGAGTGGTTATAGAGGAATTTTTGCTGCTGCTTTCTGTAGCCTGGACTTGCACATGCTCCCTGCTGCCTTTACCTGAAGAGTTGTTATACACTGTGTAGAGTAACTGTTAGTGAAGATCACCTTTGCTCTTCATTGCTGTCTTGCCCTGCACTTTGCCACATTTATTGAGTTCCTTAAGAGATAGCAGCAAGGAAAAAGCAAGATGCTTGTATTCTAGCCAACTAGTGGCAGTCAGGAAAGAGATCAGATATTTTACTCTCTTCACACCAAGAAACGGGTTCTGACAAATTAAATTAATTTATTTTGTACAAATGATAGCAGTGTCACAGTTAATACAGTAGGAAGGATATGTAATTTTATACACCTGTTTTCTTTTAACATTACAAAATGCCCTGAAAAGACAAGGAGGGTGATGAGTTTTTTTAAAAGGAGTGTCCTGACACTGATCACATTCTACTCTGAAAACACTAATCCTTTTAAAAAAAAAAAAAACAACAAAAAAACCCACAAAAAAACCCCCAACAGAACCACCAGTTCCAGTTACGAAGTCTGACATACAGTACAAAGTGTTAACAACACTTACTTGAAAGGCAGGAAAAATTGGTCGTGTCAGTTAACTCATGGAAAGCTTAAAGTGTGCTTTAGTCAGTGCAAATAGAGGAATGTGTCAATTGCTGTAGTATCTGACCACCTCATTACATCTGGCGAGTTATCCCTGAGAAAGCAATTTCTCTCTGCAAGTCTCTCGGAGTTTGTTGATTGTTGCCATGGACAAGCTTCCAGGGTCTGTGAATATTTTCTGGGGGCAAAAGGAGAAAATTCTTAGTTAAAATTCTGGCTTTGGACAACATGCTGGAATTCTCACATAATTCTCTGAAGTGTGAAATCCCTGCTTTGATAATCCAGACTGTGAAAACGCTTACTGCTGTTTGTCCTCCTTGTAACAGGGTGGCATCTTCATCTACTCTGCTGTAAAGACATGGTAAACCTGCAGCAGTAACAAGTGCTGTAAGTTATACAAAAGCTAGTTGGAATATAAGTGTCCAGTTAAAATTATTGTAGAAGGCATTTGTGTTGGTGGGTGGCAGGCATATTTAGAATGTATTAACCTATCCTGGGTAATATTACAAAGCATTTCTCATGTGGTGCTAGCATAGGTTGTTCAGGCTCTGGAACACATGCATACATTAGGAAAAACTTCTTTACTGAAAGAGTGGTCAGGCCTTGGAACAGGCTGCCCAGGGAAGGGGTTGAGTCACCATCCCTGGAAGTATTTAAAAGACGTGTAGATGAGGCGCTTAGGGACATGGTTTAGTGGGCATGGTGGTGTTGGGGTGACGGTTGGACTTGATGATCTTAGAGGGCTTTTCCAACCTTAATGATTCTATGATTCTATACATACAACAATATATTACTACTGCAAAAAATCAGTCTTAATCCCTCGCTGTACAGCCTTTGCTCTTCTTTTCTACTGAGCTTTCCAGACTAGCAATGTATATGGATGTAAGAATTTGAGGCATTTCAAATGCTGTCACGCATATCTGTAATATTTTTTGCTTTGACTTGTTGCTCAAGAAGAATATATTTGTTTTCACTACTTCATCTAAAACTCCTGGCTGAACAAAGCTATGAAGCAAGCTGCAAGTTTATGCACTTTAATCTACAGTTAAGATGTAACTTAGCCCCTCAGTTCTCTGTAGTTGTAACTGACAACTCTGGAGATGAAATTATAATTGAGCCAGTTTTGAACAGTGTTCTGGTAAAGAAGTCTGCATTGCATTAAACTAAAAACTAAGATTTTGTTTAGGGGGTGGGGGACATAAAATATTCAGCTGTCATCACCTCCACTGATACCACTGTCTGTACTGCTGGGAACAAAAAAGAAACAAAGCCAAACCCAAAAGTATGTGTTTCAAAGTTACATAAGAACCTAAATCGGTTTTATTTAATTGCCTTGAAAGCCCCCTCACTACAGTAACAAACACAGTTAAAATACATGTTTTATTCAGAGTAACTGCAAGAAAAAGGTAGTTGATTTTCTAAAAACAGCTGCTGTAAAATATAATGTAATTAAATGCAGGGGAGGGAGTCCTTCAAGGACAAGTGTTTGTATCAGCCTCTGAACTGTTATTCTTACGGCAGTTAACATTTAAAAAAACTCTTATTCTAACTCCTTTATGGACATCTCAAACATCTCCCTTCTAAATTAAGCTGTACCTGCGATACATTTTTCCCTTGCTCTTTTAATTAAAAGGCTCACAAACACTAGTAAGTTAAGCTTATTTTTCTTCTATATGAGCAAAGATGAAACATAACATAAATGACATCCTACTATGACAGACCTATGCACAGAGCTCTGATGTGAGCACAAAACTCTTTTAGGAGTAAAAGTCACCTATTGGGATGTAGTTTTGTGCACACTTAGCAAACAATGATAGTGGAATTGGCCAAGTGATTTATGACAGATGTACTCCTGGGTTTTTTTTGCAATTAACATCTTCTACGTTTCAATCTCTTGAGTTAAGCTCTGAATCTAGTGTTTTATACAGATTTGGCATCCAATCTATTAATAATTTACAAGAATAATTCTTAGTTTGCAGGTTGTCATAAGACTTGAGCACTCAACTTCATGCATTTTGTCTGGAAAAAAGAACTTGGTGTTACCTTTTTTCTTTGACTAAACATGCTTTATATTCTGGCACTGTGAAGATTTATTAATGCAAGTTTAAAATTACTTTGTGTCTATTCTACAAGATTCTATTACAACTCATCTGAAAAAAGTACAGGAACACAATGCATAGTTCACTGAAAGAATGCACTAAAGTTACTTTCTCATCAGACTTCCTGCATTAACTGGTAAAAAGGGCAAAAAGAATTTTTTTCCCTATATGACAGATAATGTGAATGGCTTACTATATATGGATTTAGATGATAATTCTTTAAAAATATTCTTTAAAAGGTTTGCATTTCTGATATAAAAACCATTCTCCATCCTTTTGGCAATTCCTACAGATACATTTCTCCTAACTGTATCCATCTTTTTGACTGAGCAAAACATTTGTAAGTCAGTCTTGTTTTTAATTTGTAACAACTAAAAGCTGCAGAGGATTTACCTGCATGAAGCTGTGACACTCCGTTACAAATGTTCCTTTGGTGATCTGCTTAAATTTATCGCAAATGTCAGGGAAATTCGTGGCTTCCAAAATAAAAGCTTGGTGTTGCTTAATTAATGTTAAGGCCACGCGGAAGATGATCTTTGACCCTTCATAGAATAAACAATCCCATATTCGGAGCACAGTCTGCAGGAAAGGAGAGAATTCAGATTACAGCTTCTTGATTTCCAGTAGGTAATTATTACTAAACTACTACAAACGAAATAATGATTATAAGTGTATATTAAGAGAACTTTATGTTACCCATTACCTCTACTGGAAGAATGTCAATGAACAAGCATATAAACCAGCGTGACACCACTAGGGTCCACATGACTCCATGTCTTTCCATCAGCTCTGCCACAGCTGGAACTTTCATTTTCACAAGTTCTCCAAGGACTTCCTGATCAGTTTTCAGGCCCAACATTGCAGGACTGTAATAATCTTGGAGAGAAGAAACCAAACTTCAGGAATCTGTGGACATGATTTTTCCACAAAATTGAAGAGAATGTCCTGTTCAGCTGAGTACATAAAGGCATGTTGAGCCTATGAATCCTAAGTTGGAGTAAATTAAGCCATGCAATGAAGATGTCTGCATTGTGGTCATACAGCACTTTTCTTTCAGCCAAGGCTGATCCCTCTACACAAACACTTCATTCATGCCTACCAAAGTATCTTCTTTCCCTCTGATGTTTTGTGGTGATTCATTCTTCCTTTCCAAAGAGGCAACAGGAGGAGGAGGAGGAGAAAGAGGCAATAATGGGGGAAAGAGGAGCCAAAGGGAGGCAGAGGAGTATAGGTCGTTTTTAACTACTAGCTTAAACTACAAAAGACTTACTAATATTTAAACAGTTCAATATAACCACCACCTCCTTCCCATGTGTGGGGGCTGCACACCTCCCAGTCCACACAATATCCAGACAGGTAACAGAAAAAACCCCAAACAACCCATAGCCTTTAGACTGGGTCCAGTCACAAACTGGAAATGTGAATTTCTGAGTGTGTCAGCTGTGCAGGGGTGCTGGAGGATAGATACCAGTTCTAGGGTATGACTTAGCCATTAAGAGGTTTTTTCTCTCTTTTCTTTGAGCCAAGGAAATCCCACTTCTCATAGAGTAATTCCAAAAGGAAGAGAATGACAGGTCCCCCAGGCAACATCTCTTCCTACTTAATTTATCTGCGAGGGGTTGAAATTAGACCTACATCTCCTACGCTGCTGGTCACTGCACTAAACTGTTAAATCCAAAATAAATAAAAACCAGAGCACACTACAACTGTTACTCCACAGCCTGTTTGACAGGGTAAGCATTTTCATTACCAAGGTGCAGGCTGAATAACAAGCATCTCAGTTCTATAAACAAGTAGTTCTGGGTATACTTAAGGGAAGAAAAAGATTATTTTAGTTCATAAGAGTTCAGATGGCCCAGCAAGGGAGAAAAATTACACAGATGTTTAAGGAATTCATATTTTGGGTTTAGATGTTGACATAAACATTTAAGCTGGACTTGGTGGCTCCAGCCCTGGGAAGCAATCATTGATGGTTCACTAGTGCTTTGCTGACAAGACCTATGTTATTAACATTATTTACTGAAGGAAGTAACACAAGCACCGTTCTATATGTTTTCTTTCCTTCACTGATTCTAGAAAGCTGCAATTCAGGTTTCTCTAACTTAGCTGGTTTCTTCCAAGGTTCCCAGACATGCAGAGCATAGACCAATGGTTCACATGAAGGTGAAGGAACCAGAAAGAACAAAGTCCATGTGTCTGAAATAATTTTAATAAAACTTCCCAGTACCACAAATAAGATTTAAGAAGATGTCCAAATTATGCAGGACGTTTATAACCACTTTAATTTCTCTAACAAAATCACAGGAACAGTTTAATATTCCACTCTCTTCTGTGTCAATGGTTTTCTTCAACAGACTTCGCATCCAGGAGCTATTTGCTCTCCATTTGTCCTGTTCAAACTGCAGAACATCTACAGGAGTTTTTATGGTTCTACGGAGCATCGCATTCAACGTTTTTGTCTGTGATCCTTATTTTCTTTGTTCCCATTGAAGAATGATAGGTAAAACAACTCCTCAGATGTAAGAGTTGCTGCCACTATATACATTCTTTTACCCATTTGCCTTTCAATTGCTTGT